AAAATTCAAGATATTATATAATTCTAAATTCTATATTTTTTTCTTTTAATTTTTCTATAATTAAATAAGGGAGTTGTAATAAATATTAGATTTATAATAAACACTAAATTTATAATAGATATCAAATTTATAATAAATATTAATTCCTTATTTTCTCTTATACTTCTACTAATTTAATAATAAAAAGTAATCTTCAAGACTATTTCTATTAATAAAGAATAAATACTCTCTTAATATATCATAATCAAATTAATAATAATATATTAAATAAATATTTTATAATAAGATTAATAATAATACCCCAAAATCAGTTCTACACAAGATTGATAAAAAACTTTTAAAAGAATAATAATTTCTAAAAAAGTATAGCTAAAAATAAAATATAAAATTGAAGAAATTAAAAATAATAAAATTGTATAAAAAAATAAAAAGTAATTAATCCTTTAAGATTTTATTTCTGATTTATTTTTTTAAATAATATTATCTATCTTCTTATACAATAATATTAATAATCAATTAATTATTATATATTAGTTTTGATTATTTAATTGGTGTTTTTAAAAAAAATTTAATTAAAATCTTTTTATTTCTTTCTTTTCAAAATCTTTAATCCTTACAATCTTAAATTTCAAGCTTAATTTTATACCCTTAATTATACAAAATAATTACCTACCCTTCCTATCATATCATATAAAGCTTCTGGTATATATCAATTACAATAAATATATTACATTCCTCCATCGAAAAATCTAAGCTTCCATCTCTACCATTATTACTACCACCACTATCACTACCATCATACATATTAAATTATTACTACCTCCTTTATTATATAAACTAAACCATTATTCCCTCCTTTATTATACAAATTAAATTATTATTATTACTACCACCTTTATTATTTTCTTTATCATTACCTTTATCTCTTACCTCCATCTCTATCTCTAACTCTATTATTATATAAATTCAATTTATACCTTTAAATTTATTATACAAAGCAAATAGTACTCCCAATTATAATAATTAGAATAATAGAATTAATAAAAATAAATATAATAGGAATTATAGGAATTACAATTAATAAAATAATAAAGGTTATAGCTTTTATAATAGAAATATTTATTATTATATAATACATTTTACAGGAATTGTATTATATAATGATAAAAGAAATAGAATTATTTTTGAGATTGTAATGATAATAATAATAATAAATTTATTAAAAAAAGGTATTCGTTTTTTGGGAAAAAAGATTTATAGAGGTATTCTAGTTTTTTTTAAAAAATAATAATTATATAATAAATAATTGGGATTTTTATTGTATAATAAAAGTTTGATATATTTTTTATAATAAAATCTTAATTAGGTTAATTTTATTATATTTGTATTGTATAATAAATCAAATAAATATTGATATTCAAAAAATTCAAAATTTAAAAAATAATAAAAATAGAAAGGTAGAAAAATGGAAAAATGGAAAGTTAGAAAGTCAGAAAGTAGAAATGAGACAATTGATTTATATGGCCGACGGTAGGTTGCGTTGAAGAGGAAGAGGAAGACAGAAATGGAGTCAAAAGCTTTGACTCCAGGATTAGGCTATTTTCTATAAGTTCTTCCAGCGAGCCAAGTCTAAACTCATAGCATGGCCATGAATCTCTTCGACACCAAAAGACGTTTCGAATCTTCATCATCGAGTATCGTAGGGAGAGGTTTCAACCGCGATTTCTGCACATTGATAGAAGATCTCTAGACGGAAAAAGATACTCAGGGTCCCATAATCGACATTTCCGTCATCCACGCCCGTTGTGCAAATCACAACGTGTCGCTCATCCATTGTACTCTTCCCACCTCGGAATGTTTAGATATTCTACAATTGTGATTTTTCAATATCCCCTCCATTGCCTTCTTCCACACTCTTTTCGCTAATTTTCTGTACAACAGCGTCTCTACTCCTTAACATGAACAGACGGATTGCTCTCACTTCCCTCCTTAACTCGACCATTAAGAGGAGCCTCTAGCTTTTGCCAAATACCAGAAGCCTCCAAAGGACTTCTAGTTTTGTAGTATGTTTTATCCGGAACGTTTAATGGAGCTTCGATCTTTTTTCCAAAGGCAAATCTTTTGAAGCCCCTTCTGACTACTTCCTCAGTATCGTTCTCCTTCATTCTCTTTGCGGCCATCTCTTTTGCCATCTTAAGTCGCGATTCTGCTTTTGCCGCTTCTTCTTTGTCGGCCGCGATAGCTTTTGCTGATTCCCTAGATCTCTCCTTGACAATTTTGCTGTACTTAGTATGAACTGGAGCCATACCCTGTGGTGCATTTTTTATGATCCAGCCATTGTCTAAATCAATGTTTGTGTCAAACCCGAGCTCGACACACTTCAACATGATAGGACGTATGTTCGGGTGTCTTACTACTGCCCATAATAAGTTGTCCAAGAGAATTTGACGAGTCAATGATTCGTCGAGAGATTGCATCACTGCACAAGCTTCGTCGAATAACAGTCTGGCTTCTGTAACCCGCTCCTCAGTCGAAAAGATCTCGCCCATCATGCAATTGAACGCAACGGTGAGAGGATAAATGACAGCCCGCGCAACTAGCTTCTTGAGTTTATATCTCTCCAATCCACGCCTATCGATTCTTTCTGCGCCAAATAGGGGTGCATCCATTACCCTGTTGACAAGGCATTCCACTTCCTGCTCCCTCTTTTCCACTTCACCTGGAGTCATACCATCGTCATAGGTTCGTGCGAGTGGACCTAGAAGGAGTTTTCCACTAACTATCGGGACGGAACGGAGCGAGTCCCAAATTCCTGTAATCTGAGTTTCTCCCACTGTAAGATAGAGGAGTCAGTATTGTGTATCAAGGACAGAATCAGGAGAAAGTTTGTTTTTAAAGCTTCCCGAGAAACAAAGAGTATATAGGATGAAACACAGATTAGAGGGTGAAATCGGGGAACAGAGTTAGGTTAAACAAGAAGGTAGAAACATTGAACCTATACTTACTGTATGTGGCATTGATACATTCAACAAAATTTGGTCGTTTTGATATATCTGGAAATTCTTGGTCGTGTAGATCTTGAACCAGACCAGGGTTGTTTCCTACTATCACCACAACAGAAGAGGGACGAAGTCTGTGTTTGATGTTTCTGAAAAATTTGATTAGATCTCTTGGCCGTTCGCCGTAGATCAAATAATCAATAGGGTCAGTATTGATTTTGGCCATGTGAGTTATAGGCACAACTTCGAGGTCCGAAGCTTTTGGTGCTGCTCGAATCTCTACGACATTTTCCTTCTCCACAGGTTTTCTCTTGTCTTGATCACAAAATTTTGCGTTCAATTCAAGAAAATAAGACAAATCGCAGACTTTCATATCCGAGATTGGCAATCGCGCCGCTTTGTGTTTTTCCTTCAGGTCAAGGTTACGAGGAGCATTGTCAAGTAGCGAAGAGACGGCATCAACTAAGAGATCATCTTCATTCGGAGCAGTATCCATCAATAAACGTTTGTACCTTAAGTTCTTAGAAGGAGGGAATGTTCCATCAGGAACAGAATATTCCATTGAGAAAGGAAGAACTTCCATATCGACAGCTCCTACCATGGTAGTAGCAATGCCGTCTTTGATTATTTGAATCTTGCCGTCCGTATCCACATATTGCTGAATATAATCGTTGTTTGCTACCATCAAGGTTACTGGATTCCTGAGTGGATTTTTTGCAGACTGAGCGATACCATTGGCAATCAACGTCTGTAAACGATGTGTACCAGCAACGTGTATACGTTTTCCTCCTGGAATTATAGAAACATCTCGTGACTGCTGGTGGTACAACAGATTTCTGGCTTGTTGAAAGTGGACAATTGAGGCTAAGGGTTTTGGCAGTGGTCCAACCCTCCAGAGGCTTTTGGTGATGAGGGACATGATGTATGTACTCGATTGGAGGTAGCGCCGTTACCTGTGGAGGGTTTGAATCTTATTAGATCTTTGGATCTTTAAGTCTCTCATTGACTAAATTGATATCACTACTCTGTTATGTTGTGTTCCTATGTTGTCCCCCTGTCATTATTACTGTCACATACCCTTAGGCATTGCTGCATAAATAAATAGCACGTGATACCATTCAATCTACATTGGTGACTTGATTAATTTCTCGAGGACTTGAATCTTCGTATTGACTTTCCTCTGTTGGGCTTTCCTGGACCTTTCCGTACTCCAACATGAACATTATCATAATCTAGAGCTACATGTTGAGTTGAATATTAGGATTTACTAAAACTAGAGCTACCTAGGTACGCACGTACGAGCGTGCTAATTAACATTGCGGGGAAACGCTAATCTAGCATTCATGAATCTCCTCCGTAATCAGCGACCCTTTGAAGATATGAAGCAACTTGTCAAGTGGCCGCCGTCATTGAAAAGGAAATCGTTCTCTGAGATTGAGGGAAAAGAGTATGAGTGATTAGCAAACACTTGAGACTGGAGAAATGCCCAGGCAGGATTACATAATAGGAAGAGCGTACACGGCTAATCCTTCTCTGTATATGAGTTTACCCATGCAGGCTACCCTGTCTATTTACCCTTCTCAGATTCCGATATTGAAGCGCTTAAAGCTTGGCTGGAAACGATTGAAAACCTTCCGATCCCCTGTCGATTGTTCAGTCTTTGCTCAGCTTTCGCAATTCCACACATGCAAGGAACTCGCGTAGCTTGAGGTTGGAGTCGGAATGGGGAAACATAACCTGGTTATTCCACCCCACGCCACCATTTCGGACTGCTGTTATCATCTTGACGGGACCGAACACAATACAGACCTTCATTGTACTCCTATGTAGGTAGTACTGCGTACGAGTTTACGAGGCGGATGGATGGCCAAACAAGCATGGATAAATGAATGATGGTAGGCTATGGACAAGGCAGTGATTTAATTACCATACACCAACAGTTGGTTTCTGCATATCCGGACCTTCATCACCAACAATTGGTTTTATACCTATCTTTCATTCATCATCAACCATTTTGCCTGTTCATGTTTCAAGGTTTGTTATCCAATTAGCAATAATCTAACAACGGTTTCGAATAAAAGCCTCAAGCATTATTCGGAGCATAGATAGATAAGCTTTAGTTCTTGGACATCTCCAAGACACATGATGAATACCCCCGTTTATTGCTACACGGGTGATGGAGTGTGGGAGGGCAAAGCTAATGGTTCATCCGTTTATCCTTGTTAGAAAACTCCTGCAGGACATAAACAAATTACGTTATTGGGTCGCCACAGACATAGGTTTGCCCCTCATCCTCCAAAGAGAAGAGTTGGGGCATATGTTGAGCACCGACGGCACGGTACCTTATACTTTCGCCCTCATACATGGCAAGTCGTATGGATGAGAGGTAACACAGAAAGCTCGAATCTCGATTGATTTCTGTGAAGAATCACGGATTCTCTTTCAAAGCGGCTATTCTCGCGCTCGACAAACCCGCAGGACTTCTTCAGATCGTTTTGATAATCTCTCTATCTTTCGAGGTGCTGCAGTCTTTACAATATGTTCATTTCATAAATATTTGATCAGCGGAGCCTTTCATGATAAATTTAACACCTTTACGTTACCGAGTCTGGCTGACTTGTGCGACAAACTCACAAGCTCTACGATACTAGAAAGTCTAACGCAAGGCTCGATACTGAAAGTTATCCTACTGATGGTTTCAAAATTTCACTTGAGAGCTTCATAATCGTCACTTACGGTCACCATCTCTCCAACCATGTTCTTAATATCGTTTGGACTACTCAGTCTTGTCAACAACATCGCGCTCGCGTTGATGGTTACACCGGATTCACCATGCATGTCTTTATGTAGTGATGGCCAGGGCTCGGACAGTATTGATGGAAGTGAAATTGTCTGCCAAAATGAACATTTCATAACCACTACAGCTGGCCAAAAATTGAAATCATGTCTCTCTTGCTTGCAGTTGAGTACTGCAGCTGGTAATGACCAAAATGATCAACACTGCTTTATCTGTAAGATTGGTTTTGTCATGACTTTTTGAAAGTCACTTGTGTACTAACGCCCGGTAGATAATATTCGTTATACTTTGGCATCATGCCTGTATGGATTTGCCAATGCTACAGATACGATAGCGACACCGTGCTCTACCTCTAAAGCTTGTGGCCCATTCCAACTAGCAATCGAAGATGGAAACTTCATCACCAAAAATGAAACAGCTTATGGATATTGCTCGGCAAACTACAATTCTATTTTGAGTGGCGGCACTTCCGCATGTAAAAGTTGTCTTCAATCTGGCAACACCGAATCCTATCTCTCAAATTGTGAGTTCTGTTCCTTAAGTTATGACGACCAAATACTAATTAACCTAGTCCTGATAGCTCTCCAAGCAGGATGTCACCAACAGCCCCCCGACGGAACTATCATTGGTCTCAATGCCTCCGTCTTCTCTCAATATGCCATCACCGAAACATCCCCTGGACAAAGCTACAACACCACCGTTCCTAGCACCGAGTCCAGAAAAGGTCTATCTAAGCACACAATCATTGGGGTATCCGTAGGTCTTGGTATTCTTCTCCTCATTACCCTTTTCATAATCTTCACCCTATGGCGTAATTATATTGCCTTAAAACGTGGACGCGAACGGCATACTACTCTGGATGAGAGATATGGCGCTCTCAATATCACTGCGCCTAACGAAGGTGCATTCGGAAACCCACAAACTCGATCCAAAACCATCACCCTAGCTGCACCTCCACCAGCTAGAAAACATAATAATACAAATATCACACCACCATTCAATCTCGCAAAGTACCCAAGCGATGATGAAAGCTTGCATAAACACGATACGATCATACTTCCAGCTCATCAAGCTTACTATTTCCCTTCAATACCTCATTCAAATCCATATTCGAAAACAGAAGATACGGTGCCAATAATGCTTCATGAGGAATCCTCCTCACCGTATTCGCATCCTCATTCGTCTAACACGCAGACTCCCACCTTTGATCCCGCAAGAACTTTTTCACCACCAACACAAAATTCGGCGCGGATGACGGACAATAATGAGGGCGCAAGTTTTTATAATCGGGAAAAGGCTCAAGATAAGAGGATGTTAAGGAATGTAGACAGAGACAGGGATGTGAGTATGAATTCGGACGTAACGATGAGTTACGCGAGAGCCGCTATCGATGGCACGCAGAATAGTGGAATTGGTGCTTCCTCTCTTTCTCCGAGCGCATGGGACATTGAAACAAGGTTAGATAGTGGTGGGGAGGAGAGAACGAAAAGTCCCCGCGTAGGGGGAGATATTGAAGATGTGAGGGAGAGAGTTAGAGAGAAGGAAAGGCAAAGGAAGAAAAAAAGAGCACCGAAGAGGATGTCGGTTATTAGCGACCAGGATCAGAACCAGGATCAAGATCAATGGCCTGGAGAATTTTGAAGAGCTGACAATGGACGAGATTGAATGATACCCGGTCTTTCGTCTTTTCATTACTATCTACATTTTCTCAATATACAATTTCTTTAGGCGTGTGTGGTCTTCTAACTAGCTACTAATAGCTAGGAAGAGCGGGATTGGTATCAGCTGGCTTGGTATCTGTTTCCTTGCTTCGAAACTAGGTTTGGGATGTTGGAATCTGTTTGATAGATTAACTATGCATAGGTAATTGTACCAAATTAATTCATATGGCCAGGCATTTTTAGTATCTACATACGCAATCCCCGCAACACCTTTCACCACATCTAACCCAACCTAATACTCAACGCCCCAATCTTCAACAACTTACTCAAAATTAGAGCATACAGTATTTAACATTCAATATTCTCAAACCAATGATCTACAACCGAAACCGAAACCGAAACCGAGATCAAATCAAAATTTTAATTCATATACTGAGTGAAATCAACACCCAACTCTCCAGCTACAAGCTAGGATTTGTCCTTCCTCCCCTTACCCTCCTTTTCAGCGCTTTCGCAAAGGATCCCCTGACTTGATTGCAGCTTTTACTATATTAATGAATTATTAAAAGTTAGATAAGCGAATCGAAAAGGTAAGCGGTTCCTTTGATATCGCATAGTACCTAGATAGCTCTTCAAATATTGTTTCTTGTGGTGTTGATTATACCTATGTTCAGATAGTTCGTTTTTTTAACATCAATATTAATATCAATAATTCGATACCGTATTATATATATCATACCATACAATACCGTATCATAAACCACAAGATAGGTACTCACCATCTCCCAAAATACCACTCTATACTCCACTCCCTAAGACTTCTCAAAATCACAATTCAAAAGTATGTATATAAATATAAATACATGTAGGTATACAAACCATCATTTCAAAACAACCTTCCCCCTCCCCAATTTCTCCCAGCGCTTACAAGTTACAATAAACAAATTAGAGCTCCCCTTCTCCTCTCTCCCCCAAATCTAATCTTCAGCAACATAAAAATAGAATTTAAAGTACAGATATATGCAATATGTGTATGGATACTCAATTATGAACATTAAACCATTGGTTATCAAGCTACATTATCGAGGTGATCGTTGCAGAACAGTGGAGAGAAGCACAGAGATTTAAATTCACAGGCAGGGTGTTGTTATTTTTATTCATGGTACAATGTGGGTGAATGGATTGTGGTGATATACATAACACCTGTATATATTCCATTGATGATATCAAAAGAGTCTCCTTTCCTCCCAATTTACTTTTTGCTGGAGTAGTATTTATTTCCTCGTCATGTGCCTTCCAGAAGACTTAACAGTCAGTATTAACGATTCATTCATTCATTAATTCGTCCATCGATTCCTCCTAGGACGAACTAATCAGTTCTACCTCTTCCCTCCCTCGCAAAATGGTATCATCAAATAATCAAACACAAGAAATGATATACAAAAAATGCACACTCAAAAT